TAAGTGTTTTGAATGGGTTTATTAGGTTTTAAATCAAGAAAATTTGGAAATAATTTGCAGTTATTTTGTTTATTCATTAGCTATTTCAGGAAGTATGCGTCGTAGAGCATAATGGGTTTTACCTGTAGATGCGGCTTAATGAGACGGGTCGATTGGTATTATAAAAGTTCAGTAGCGGAAAAGTGCAGATAATCGGTTTTGGCACTAAGGGGACGATTTACTAATAATAAACTTCTCGCTTTCTAAACGCGCTTTGTTCGTTATTTTGCAAATGTACATATTAATAATTATAATTAGTAATAATATTTAATAGGAGTAACAATTAATTAATTCTTCATTAATAATTCTTATTAAAAAATAATGAACAAAAATATTTACAAAGAATAAAGACATTTATTTAAATTCAAAATAGGGAACCCTTCTACTACAAAGGCGATGTTCTTGGCTGTATCATTTCGGTGGTAATTTTTTACCATTTCGGTAGACAATTTTCATTTCAGTGGACTGCCGAAAACTCATCCTTAAATATTTCAGTAATTGGTGATTGTTGAATTTGCCCCGTAGGATCGTTTAAAAATAGAAAAAAAAACCATAAACAATATTTTATTTATTTTTTATTTTGCACCTTTAATTGCATTTTGTGTAAAAACTATGGGAGATACGCGAAAATAAGTTGATACCTTTTTTGTAGGAAATTAAATTTTCTACAACTTTGTGCTACAAACTTTTTCTTTTTTTCCAGCCAGTCGCGAGATATTGACGAAAAACTCGTTTTTGCACCATTTCGCATTTTTTTTTTCACCCTTTGCCGTCAATGCAGCACCCTGCAATTTTAGTATATTAATCTACGAACCCTTGCGGAAATTTTTGCGTTGGTTGCAGGTGATCAACTCAAAATGGCAAAGTTAAGCCTTCATTGACTGGACTATAACCCTTTCATTTTGTATAGAGAATGCTTGTCATTCTCTCTCAATATACACTGTTGTCAAATTTAAGTTTAGGTTTAGAGAATCATGCCAGAATCGACACCATTATGTACTTAAATTTTATTTTCAGTACATATTATGTACTTTATTTTTATTTTCAGTACATATTATGTACTTAAATTATTCTTTGCACATTGTAATAGTAACCAGTTAAGAACATAATTATTTTGTCATTAATCCCATAGGGTACTTTTATTGACAAGCAAAGATTAAGTTTAGGAATGGAATGTATTATGCCATTACACAAACAATATATCGTTATGTATAGCTGTAAACAAAATTATTGCTCAGACTTTAACCGAAAAAGGTTGTGACCAATGCAGTATGTGTTACATGAATAGGGGTGATGACGACAGTAAACAAAATTCTATTTAGTCCGTCAGTTAGATGATCAAAAAATAATGTACACGTATTTTTTCTTTGGGCAATCAACCGAAAAATGACAAAGTTATAGCTTTGGGAGTCAAAGTTTGGGAGTAGGGGCTCGTGACGTCACTTTTGAGTGAATTTTCCCTTATAAGTGTACTCAAACGTGACGTCATGCGACTTTTCAAATCAATATATCTTTGCAATGTTTATATATATTATGTGAAAAAAGAAAAAATACGTGTCCAACACTTTTTGATAATCTACCTGATAAACGAAGGGGGAAAAAATTAGTCATCATCCCTATTATAGTATACAATTATGTCTGGTATTATATTTGTTTCATAAGTTTTCAAGTCTTTCGATAATATAAAATCATAATTCAGACGACGTATCCTGAAAAGGTCCGAGAAGCTCGATGGCGCAAGTGGTTAGCGCGTTCGGCTGCGATCGTTGAAGTTAAGCAACTTTCGCAGTGGTCGGTCATTGGATGGGTGACCAAAAATTTGCTATCTCAAGTTCCTCCGTGCTTCGGAAGGCACGTTAAGCCGTTGCTCCCGGCTGCATCTGCATTCGTTAGCACCCGTCAATCCGCACTGGGCCCGCTTTGTGGGTCATGGCCCAATCTCCCTATTCCATCCATCGGGAAGGCCTGTGCCCCAGCAGTGGGGACATTAATAGGCTGATGATGATGACCCTGAAAAGGATGCGAAACGTCAATAAATAAATAAATCGGTGCATCTATACCATTAAAACAACTTTTTTAATTAACTAGTGGCCCGCCCTCGCTTCGCTTCGGTGTAGAGCTGAAGTGTAGACTACAGTTTTTGTTCTCAGGCTTGTATTATACACAATGACATTCATCTATGATTCTTCTTATACCTGCATGCAAATTCTCAGCCCGATCGGTTTAAAATTGACAAAGTTTCATACAAAATTTCATTACCTATTTTATCCCTTTGGGGTAGAATTGATCAAAATCCTTTCTTAGCGGATGCCTACGTCATAACATCTACCAGCATGCCAAATTTCAGCCAGATCCGTCCAGTGGTTTGGCCTGTGCGTTGATAGATCACTATGTCAGTCAGTCACCTTTGAGTTTTATATATATAGATGTACCAGGCATTTATTTTTAACATTTTTACTGGTAACTGTATTTGTAGTACCATTTGTTGATATTAACGAAGTTTGTTTTAAACATGTTAGTTGTGTACGCTATAGTCACAAGTCTTCGTATAAGATCATTTTCCTTAACAGTCTACGCATAATGTGCTACTTAACAATTGAGATCTTGGAAAGATAACATTTTAAAGGCACTTTAGTTTTCTTACAAACGAAACATTATATGTTATGAATATTAAATATACCTTACGGATACGACACACAATTTAATTTGGATATTAGTATATTATTTTAAACTTCCATGGTCATTATTTATTACAGTTAATAGCGGAATTGCTACCATATAAGTACTCCCTCTTTACGATAGTGTAATTATGAGCAATCAAATTACAATGCGATTCAAATAAGAATAGGAAAGCCAATGACCTCCATCTGTCAAATGTCGCTTGAAAAGTACGGTTTGCAAAAAAAATCGGAACACTTTTTTAGCACTCAGCTGATTCTAGAATAAAAATCAAACATTTTTAAACAAACAATAAAAAATTTGATACTTAATATTAGTTGTTTTTTTTTTCATTTATTGAGTTTTGGCTGTGAATGGTTGATAACATAAATCGTCAACCAAATGTCACTTTATGTTGCGTTCAAAAACTCGATTTAAAACTTTCGTTTACATATAGGATGCATGTTCGTATGTGACCTGCATGATTATTCATCGTGACTTCACTGGCGGCAATGATGAGAGAAATTGAAGTGCTAGATTCTGATTATTGTTTTTTTCACACTGTCCTAATAAAGAAATACTTTTAAAAATCGGCTGTGTTCTTTCTCAACCTTAGTAAATTAATTTTATGAAAAAATCTGATGTTTTGTCTCACTTAATCTTAGTAAATAAGTTTTATTAAATAGCAACATTTTTTGCTCACTCTACCTATCTGGTTTGATTTGACAGCTAAAATGTCAAAATATGGCGCTCAGTCGGTCCTATTCTTAGTTAAATCGCATTATAATATGTTCAGTGCATCGAGCAGAATATTAAAAAAACTTGTTATTATAGAATTATTGCTCTTCGTGAATTCTATGCTTCGAGTTATTGACAATAGAGCAAAGTGTGGTACTAAAGTTTCATAGAGGATATCAATACCTAACTGTCACAGTTATGTCACAACTAAAGGTCCCATGTGGTTTTACCCGCGTTAATTTTAAGAAAAAGGTTACAAAGGTTAGGAAAGTGGGTTACATTTGAAATATGGATATAATGCTGTCGCGGACTTTTGTTAAAATAACATTCAAAGGGAAACAATTCCGTTATACATGATTTTTGTGTAACTTTAACCGTTTACCCAGCCCACGCAACGGAATCTCACAAATGGAATATTGTTACCCGTTTTTACAACATTTTCTATCGATGCTCCGCTGCTACTGGTCGTAGCGTGATGTTATATAGCCTATAGCTTTCCTCGATAAATGCACTATCCAATAACAAAATAATTTTTGAATTAATTTTATGGGGTTTTTATAAAAACTTTATTTCGAGACAACTCAGATCCATAATTATGTTATTAGAAAAATCAACCTTACAACTAAGTGTTGTAGTTTAGGAGTACTTTAAGTAGTTCTAGATATTCATTTATTATCACATTACTATTTTATTCAAAAGGTTATGTAAATTAAAGGCATTCCGTGCGTGCGACACAGTAGGAATCATTATCATCATCAGCCTATTAATGTCCCCACTGTTGGGGCACAGGCCTTCCCTATGGATGGAATAGAGAGATTGGGCCATGACCCACCACGGAAGCCCGGTGTGAATTGGTGGGTGCTAACGACTGCAGATTCAGCCGGAACCAACGGCTTCACGTGCCTTCCGACGAATAATCTCAAATGTGACAAATGAGAATATGCATAGCATGAAAATAATACCTTTTAATTTATTTAAATAAAAAAAATCGGTTTTGTTCATTTAAAATTAATAAATTTTCGTGAGCCAAGTGTATCTAAACACACTTAATTAGGTTAGTATAAACCTCGTCAATGTCGCAAATGTAAAAAGAAGAAATGAATATGCCAGTCCCATACAGGGCGTCCAGAACGAAAAGTATATTAAATATTGAAGATAGGATCATCATCATCATCAGCCTATTAATGTCCCCACTGCTGGGGCACAGGCCTTTCCTATGGATGGAATAGGGAGATTGGGCCATGACCCACCACGCGGGCCCAGTGCGGATTGGCGGGTGTTAACGACTGCAGATGCAGCCGGGACCAACGGCTTAACGTGCCTTCCGAAGCACGGAGAAACTCGAGATAGAAGATTTTTGGTCACCCATCCAATGACCGACCACTGCGAAAGTTGCTTAACTTCAACGATTGCAGCCGAATGCGCTAACCACCTGCGCCATCGAGCTCCTCAAAGATAGGATATCATCGTGAATTGGTGGGTGATAACGACTGCAGATTCAGCCGGGACCAACGGCTTCACTTTCGAATTTAAAGTGCTCATAAAACATAAAAATAATTTTACAGGTTGTACACAGCAGAGAAAGTTAAAAGAAAAACAGATGATAGCTCAAAAATCGTGTGCCCACACAAAGGAATATGTTGGAAGTACATATTAAAGGTAATCAATAATGTTCATATTGCTTTTTCCTTGTGTATTAATAGGAAAAGTAGTACAGAGAGCAAGTACTAAATCAAATCAAATCAAATCATCTTTATTGCGAATACAGGTTACAAAGTTGTTACACAGATACATTTTAGTAAAGTACAGCTATATTTTGACATATATATTGACGACCTCCGTGGCCGAGTGGTTTGTACGCCGGGTTTCATGGTGTCGCCGACTCGAGAGGTCCCGGGTTCGAATCCCGGTGGGGGCCGATATGTGTGTGATGAATACGAGCATATTTGTACTCCAGTCATGATTGTTTAATATGTATTTCTATATAAATATACTTATATATGTACTGTATATGTATTCTCGCCGTGTTACCCTAGTATCCCATAACACAAGCCTTATAGTGTGCTTACTTTGGGGCTAGGCTACTTGGTGTGATTGTTGGAAATATTTATTATTATTATTATTCCCTCCCTCATTCCCTTATATCATTAAAAATACAAAAATGCAGTTCCCCATCGGCAGCAAGATCAGGGTCTCTGCTACCGGTGGTTAAGGATCCAGTGACAGGAACTTCCTCACTATACGAGCCGTGTCCAGAAATACTGCTTTCTGCATCTGACTCTTGACCCAACCACCTAACGCGAGCCTCTTAGCCTCTTATTATTATTATTATTCTGCCTTATCGGCATGCAATATATTATTTCTATAAATCATTAATTATTTCAGTGTTATATTAATAAATTTAACATAGTTTATTCAAAATTTCAATAAACGATAAATTTAAGGTTGTAATTATTTCATGCATGCCATTTTTTCTAAACTTAGTCTAATAACTTCTGTCTTCCAAAAGTTCAGGGACCGTATAATATATTTTTTCTATTAAAAGTATTGTAATTTGTTATTAAATATATTGGTCACGGTAATTTCTCGCACACTTTCAGGTAATTTACTATAAATATAAGGAGAATAGGGATGATGACTAATTTTTTTTTTCTTCGTTTATCAGGTAGATTATCAAAAAGCATTGGACACGTATTTTTTCTTTTTTCACATAATATAAGCATTGCAGAGATACACTGATTTAAAAAGTCGCATGACGTCACGTTTGAGTACACTTATAAGGGAAAATTCACTCAAAAGTGACGTCACGAGCCCCTACTCCCAAACTTTGACGCGCTATAACTTTGTCATTTTTTGGTTGCTTGCCCAAAGAAAAAATACGTGTCCATTATTTTTTGATCATTTAACTGACGGAATAAATAGAATTTCGTTTACTGTACCCCGTCATCACCCCTACTGCAAATCACACTTTTCCTAAATAGTGCCGTATTACAGGGGACTACACAAAGTTTTGCAATATGACATTCACGAGTTCTGGCCTTAAGAGCCCTTTCACATTTTTTGCAATAAATCGCAATTTTTGTATCTATAATATAATACAATAAGTATCTATAATTGGTCTTAAGATTTTATTTATATTTTATTGTACTACATCCACAAAAATGGCCAAAAAATATCGCTGTAGAAACTTTGTTACAGATAAATAAATAAATAAATAAATATTACTGATGATGTGATTCTATGTATGTGTTAACTATAATGGTTACAGGGTTCAAGCACTTACTTCGGAATCGGTTTAGCCATCAGCCTGGCAAAACTCGTCTTGCCCAAAATAAGGACGCCCGTCAAAGCCTTGTCTTCGATCAGAGGAAAGAATTTCAAGTTGGCAATGTTCTTCGGCAGTTATATCGGTATTTACAGAGTACGACTATATTAAATAATCATTTTGAAAGTTTTCGTATCGATATGTGGTGATGTTTGATTGATGTGGTCATTTTGTTTTGTCTTCGCCTCGCGTGTGGATTATCAATAAGTATTGGACACGTAGTTTTTTCTTTATTCACATAGTCAAAACATTGCAGATATATTATACAGGCTGTTACAAAAATACAAATAAAGCTTGAAGGGCGTTGAAGTACAACATATAAGGAGTCTTCTCTAATTTTCTTAAAATATTTGCATGAAGTTTTAACTTTTTATAAAAACAGTTATTTTTAATGATTAATCAAAATATCGATCATTTTAAGACACATCACTAGTTCAAGGATCATTAAAAATATATGTTTTTTATAAAAAGTTAAAATTTCATGCAAATATTTTAAGTAAATTAGAGAAGACTCCTTATAAAATGTACTTCAACGCCCTTCAAGCTTTATTTGTATTTTTGTAACACCCTCTAGATTTGAAAAGTCCCACGATTTGATTTTGCCCCACTAATATTAAAAACTATTGTTCGTAGTTCGAATATGAACCCAATACTGGTGGGTCTATGAGACCGTTAGGACATTATTGATAGAACCACGAGTCAAAAATCTTTAAAACAATATAGCCTAAGACATATACTCAACTAGCTGTGCTGTGCCCCGCGGTGTTACCCGCGGTTTATTACGGAAAATAAATTGCATCGATTTTCCCATGGGAATAAGATATTTTCCCGTAGTAAAACGTAGCCTATGGTGTCAGCTAACTTCATACCATTTGGTGCTGACACCCTGGATGATTATTAATTGGATTGGATTAATTGGATATATGGAGGATTATTAAAATCGCTCCAGCCGTTTAGACGTGAAGAAGTAACAAACATACACACTCACAAACTTCGCCTTTATAATATTAGTGTGATGTCAACATGCAACTAATTGGCAATTCATTTGACATTGTGGGCTACCTACAATGCGAAGAGATGGCGCTGCCTTGCAGCTTAAGGCTAGGAAAATTTCGACGCGGCGAATAGGGCCGTGGTAGCATAATGGTCAGTGCATTCGCCCGGATTGCGAAGGGATTCGGATTCGAAGCGGCGTTCGAGTCCCGTCCGCTGCCTGGTCCGCGTGGATATTTTTTTCTAGTAAACTTTTCTTTAGATTTAAACATCTAGCAGTTAAATGCTTAAAAATAAATAAAAACATGCAACTAATTGGTTTCAGGCTGTGATGTGTTACTTATGTAACAAAACCAAACGCGACGATGCACTATATGCTTTGCCCGCGGGTTACGTCGCGGGGTTATCGATGATGTTCAATCCCAGCACTGGTTTGGCTATAGCCTCCCTGACCGCTGCTTTCAAGGTAAAAATTTCATCATTCGATTTTTTACTCACACTCTTCTAAGTTTTCATGCACTCATTAAATAAAACACGCGTTAAAATCTTAGATTAAAACAAAAACGGTAGACACGATACGCTCATACTTGCATCAAACAAAAACTGATACCACGGCAGCGCGAACGGGACGGCGAGATCCGCGTCACTGCATTACCGACCAAACACGCAACCAGTACTCGACGTCACTACCGAATAAGATTCAAAACAAACAGCAATTTTTATGAAAAAATATATTTTATAGTACTTACGAATGAAAAGTGATGCCGTGGGTTTTATTTTTAGTTCTTGAGCAATTTGAGCACTTTTTAAAAACACACTTAGACATTGTTTTATCATATAAACACAAATATTAGCAATATTTCTTTTTGGCGTTCACATGTACGTCGTTTGCATGTCAAGTTGTGACTAAAGCGATTAGGGTCGTGGACCACAATTCATGCGGATCACTTTTGTGAGGCTAGTGCCGTATCTACCCTTTTTGTTTAAATCTAAGGTTAAAATGCGTCTTTTTATTAGTTTTTTTGACGTGGCTGCGAAAAAGGCCTGAAAAGGATGCGAAACGCTAATAAAGTAATGAGAAAACAACATGAAGGCATATCGCATTTCCGCTTGCATTAGAGCGCCCGCCTGAGGAGGTAACCTGTAAGGTAGTGTTGTGTGTGTTGTGTAATTGAATAACACTACATTTTTGGTGTTGTGTTTCTATTGGCGAATAAGGTTCTAGGGTTCCACGGGATAGGGTTACAGGTTATAGGTGATAGGTTCAGGATACGCAACGGAAGTTGACCTGGAAGTTGAAAGCATGCATCCGTTCCAGGATTTGAAATGTGGTGGCGCAGAATGCAACGCATAGCTTTGAATGCAAGAAGAACTAATGAATATAGCTTGAAGGAGCTGGGTATCTTGATACCCAGCTCCCTCTCTTTTTTCTCTCCTTTTTCTCTTTTTTCTTTCTCTCTCTTCATTCTCTCTCTTCTTTCTCTCTCTTCTTTCTCTCTCTTAGTTTTCTCTCTTCTCTCGTCTTGATTATAGCTTAAAGGAACTGGGTATCAAGATACCCATCTCCTTCAAGCTATATTCAATAGTTCTTCTTGCGTTCAAAGGTATGCGTAGCATTCTGCGCCAACATCACATTTCAAATCCTGGAAAGGATGCATGCTTTCAACTTTCGAGGTCACGGAAGCGTACAAAAAAATCGAGAAGACCAGAACACTCATCAGCCGCACTTTAGTGGATTTAGTAATTCCTCTGTTCTTCCAGATCCTCTCCATGCTTTACATAGCAGCATTTTTCATCTGTCCGCGCCTGATGACTTCCGCCTCTCAGTGAATTGGACAACACCAAAAACTAGTGTTATTTTACTGAGGGCTTCTGTAAGGTCTTCTACTTCCCCAGTCGGGTGCTCCAATTCGAGCGATAAATCTGCTATACTCTCCTCGTTCGGGTGAACCGATTCGAAAAGTCTGCTACATATCAAATCAAATCTCTCTTATATCAAATATTCATTTCAGCTATACTCAACTATTCTTTACGAGAAGAAGATTTTGCCAGATAACGTGCCACTGCCAGAGTTGATGTACTGCCTGTGTCAGGGTATACTGTTCTCTTCGAGGCTGGTGGACCTAGGAGCATGCCCTTCATACATATTGAACCTAATGGACACCGTCAGTCATGGACAGTGAGTAAATCTGGTTGATTTTTGTTATATTTCGCTTCAAAAACAGGGCGTACTCCTTCCTTAAAGGCTGGCTTGCATTTGTGATACTCCAGGTGTTGCAGGTGTTTATGGGCAATGATGATTTATTTCCAATAAGTAAGCCATATTTGCCGAAGAACCGTTGGGGTAGACGAGTTCTGGAGTGGAGACCGCGTCTAGGCAAACGTAGTGTAGGACGTACTCAGGCATGATGGAGTGACGGTTTGCGCAAAGTGGCTGGCAGGAGCTGGATGCGAGTAGCCCATGATCGATCTGAGTGGTGTGCATTTGGAGAGGCCTATGTCCAGCAGTGGACTAAGATAGGTTGTTGATGATGATAATGATGATGAAGTAAGCCGTTAGCTAGTATTTTATATAATTATAAAAAAAACTAAATGTGCACCACAAAAAATATAATTCAGACCTATTATAATTCAGTGGCTCTATCATTATTTTACAAATATTATTCTCGCTAGCGATAGAGTAATTAATAAAGTAATTTGACGACCTCTATAGCGAAATGTTTAGTACGCCGGGTTTCATAGTGTCGCCCACTCGAGAGGCCCCGGGTTCGAATCCCGGCGGGGGCAGGTGTTTGTGTGATGAATACGAGCATTTGTACTCCAGTCATGGATGTTAAATATATAGTTCTATATGAATATACTTATATATGTATCAGTATAGGTATTCTCGGAGGAGCTCGATGGCGCAAGTGGTTAGCGCGTTCGGCTGGGATCGTTGAAGTTAAGCAACTTTCGCAGTGGTTGGTCATTGGATGGGTGACCAAAAATTTACTATCTCGAGCTCCTCCGTGCTTCGGAAGGCACGTTAAGCCGTTGGTCCCGGCTGCATCTGCAGTCGTTAGCACCCACCAATCCGCATTGGGCCCGCGTGGTGGGTCTTGGCCCAGTCTCCCTATTCCATCCATAGGGAAGGCCTGTGCCCCAGCAGTGCGGACAATAATAGGCTGATGATGATGATGATAGGTATTCTACCCGTTACCCTAGCATCCCATAACACAAGCCTACAGCCTACTTACTTTGGGGGCTAAGCTAATTGGTAAGTTTAAAAAAAAACATAACTGGAAAATTATGCAGCGCTTCTTGCGTGTGTGTAAGTATTATAACAAGATTAAAAATATTCGCCAATGCTTCCTCCCACACCTGCGCGATGAAGCTTAGTATAGATCGAGGTACGAAACTCTAGCGCTGACCGTTATTGCGCAGAAGTAAAAATTAAGATGTCTTAGGGGGAAACGAGGTGCGCGGGTGGGCGTGCGTTGCGCCGATTGGCTCTCCAGTCGTACCCATGCGCAGCTATCCTCTCCGCGTTTTGTTCAGCGCTAGAGTTACGTGCCGCGTTCGAAATTTGAATTTAGTTCTAGCTTAATGAATTCGGGCTGCGTGTCTATAGACGCTAGACGACAGTTTGATTGGCGGTTTCTGACACGCATAAAAGAGGTTCTGGAAGACGATAAAATTTTATGTGCAGCTGACGGAGCCGACTTCCAATGGACTAATTCAAGTTTCGAACGCTTTTAGTGTATTTTAGTACCAAAGGCTTTGTGGTGCAGGTGGGAGAGAATCATCACAATATAGCAATTTGGCACCATGCGTCTTATAATAGACAGATGTCATCGAGATAGACCATTAACGTTACATTACTTTGATGTTGTTGATGAAGACCACAGTAAAAACACTACCTTTTGGTGGTATTGTGGTTCCGTCGGGGAGTAAGATTCCAGAGCTCCACGGAGAAGGAATGGTATCAGTTTTTTTTTATACGGTGATAGGTAAGCGCTTGACCATAATTCGCCTGAGGGAAAGAAATATTATGGTCTACGATGGAGCGCGCTTACCTAATAAAAACCGGTTCACTCTTGCTTTGAAGACCGCTAGATTGTAGTGCTCGGGGAACAAGGGCTCAGGCAAGGAATTCCACAGCTAGAAGCGAATCGCTCAGATTAGGCAATGGTGCGACTGTAATTTTTGTATCGCAAGCGTCTAAAGAATATGGTGGCCGCTTACCACTAGGCGGGTCATAAGCTTGTTTGTTACCCTTTAAACATAAAAATAATGCAGATGTCGAAAGTCTTCTTGAACATCTTAGGCTGAAAAGCAGTTCCATTTCTTCGCATTGCAGGGAACTACAATGTCAAGTGAAATCCTTTTACAAGCAGGAAAATATTGTATAAAACGTCCCACGGCTGGAGCACAGTCCTTCCTTATGGATGGAATAGGGAGATTGGGCCATGACCCACCATGCGGGCCCAGTGCGGATTGGCGGGTGCTAACGACTGCAGATGCAGCCGGGATCAACGTCTTAACGTTCCGAAGCACGGACGAACTAGAGATGGAAGATTTTTGGTCACCCATCCAATGATAGACCGCTGCGAAAGTTGCTTAACTTCAACAAACGCAGCCGAACGCGCTAAACACCTTCGCCATCGAGTTCCCTTTGCTGGCCAGTATAACGAACAAATAATTTTATATTATGTCTTGTTTTGTTACAGCTGCGAAGCCGTGTTTCAACGAGTTGTAGCGGAATCCAAAAGACTGGCATCTTCATAAGGGCATCAATATTGAAAGATTTAGTTAATTTTAGAATAAGTCTGAAATGGTGATTTAGTTGTGGGTTTTTCATAGGATCCTTAATACAAGAACATATCAGATCAGGATGATTTTGCTTACTAAAGCTTAATATTTAATTTCATTAATGTACTTATGACTAAGAAATTGTTTATAGATTTTTTTTTATTTGGGATACAAACGATATTTTATTATATTTAGATTAATTAAATATAGAAAATAACATATGTCAACAAAGCTTCCACTAAAAACTAGGTCAGTTATGAGCAGCTGTGTATTTATAAAGAATATAAAAAAAATAACAGTTCAATTACTTCATTTAAAAGCTTTTTTTAATTCATTGTTTCCATTTTTAAGCATATCAATGAAATAGATTTTATTATTATGTGAATCACAAGCTCAATACAAAAATGTGTCTGCAGTATATTTTGTCTTAACAAAAGGTACACTAAACAGGCAGTTAAACCTAGAGTTTATACGGGAACACTTGAATCAAATGTTACTTCAAAGAAAGGTAGAATCTACCATATCATTCAAGATTTTAAACAGGAAGATCTGATCTCTCACGCAACGACGCTTACTCAAATATTGTCTAAGAATCGTTTCATTGTTTACCATACAATACGAACACCTAAATGAAATATGTATATATGTATACATATTTCACGTATTTCACATATATATATATATATATATATAATATATATATTGAGCTCTATTAAGAATATTTAATTTACATTTCCCGTAACAAATTGTTTATATAAAGAGGTGAATACATTTATCTATGGTGGTATTGATACCATTACTGTGTGTATATTTAGGACCCACTCAATTCTTAGTTAATGAATTATTAGGCTTCAACGAGCGATATTCAACCTAGTGATCTCCAAATAGCAAAATATACTAATGTTTTTAATGAATTTAGAAGGTATTAGAAATATATGTAATAAACGTATTAACTGTTAAAGTCAAAAAGTGTAAAGAATTTGTTAATGCTTATTGAAAACTTGATTGAAAGTTCACTACTTTTCAATTGTGATTTATTTCTTTTCTAATCAGCAAATTTAAAAAAAAACAATAGGGTATTTGACAAGTTTTTGAAAGCGATCTCACGTTATTGACTAATGTTTATGGAGTCCGTAAAAAGGATATTCATCATTCTGTTGTGTATTTCAGTAAAAATAATCAAATCAAAAACTCCATTTCCAAGTTGCCGCGAAAACGTTTCTCTGGACAATATGGCGTCTTACTAGTGTGTGATGTCACACGACTGTTATTAAAATATCAAACGATACAATGTAATGTCACTTTAACCGGACCTTTACTTGCGTGTGACGTCATTTTAGGCTCCGCCAATCCCAAGCGTTTTGGGTCACGTGACAATAGATAAGAAAACTATTATCTTTTTCGTGGGTTTTTAGTAAAAATATGATTTTTTTTTGTAAATACAGTAAAAGCCCCTGCCAATACTCATTCTAAACACATATGCTAACAATTGGCACTTTATTTTTAATACTGTCAAATACCTAATTGAAAGAATTATAATTTTTAAAGAATTAATCAAGAATATTGCTAAAAGTAAATATAAAAAGACGATTATGTATTCCGATTTTAATATTTTCCAAACGGATGTAAAATTGAAACGACATTTAATTATTACTGAAATTGAATATGTTTTGGAATCTTAGATTAAAACAAAAAGGGTAGATACGGCACTAGCCTCAAAAAAGTGAACCGCACCAATTGTGGTCCACGACCCTAATCGCTTTAGTCACAACTTGACATGCAAACGACGTGCATATGAACGCCAAAAAGAAATATTGCTAATATTTTGTGTTTATATGATAAAACAATGCCTAAGTGTATTTTTAAAAAGTGCTCACATTGCTCAAGAACTAAAAAAATCCACGGCATCACTTTTCATTCGTAAGTACTATAAAATATATTTTTTCATAAAAATTGCTGTTTGTTTTGAATCTTATTCGGTAGTGACGTCGAGTACTGGTCGCGTGATTGGTCGGTGCAGTGACGCGGATCTCGCCGTCTCGTTCATGCTGCCGTTGAAACTTAACGTGCTGTTTCGTTCGAGTCGGTAATGCAGTGACGCGGATCTCGCCGTCCCGTTCGCGCTGCCGTGGGATCAGTTTTTGTTTGATGCAAGTATGAGCGTACCGTATCTACCCTTTTTGTTTTAATCTAAGTTTCAAAGAGGAGTATTATGATTACATGAGGACTACTATATAATTAATAAGAAGATAAAAGCGATAGTTAATGCCTTCCAGTGTACATAAAATATCAAAAATTATGTAAAACAAATTTCTTACGCCTCAAAGGATCCAAAGAAAAATCTTGTTTACCAAAGGGATGGTGCTAGTGATAAATTTATTCAATTTATTGTTATAATATTTTTACTTGGTGATGTTTGGTTTGTACCTCTATGAAATATTTTGTTGATTTATTGAGTTAATAATTCTAATAAATTTCTATATGATATTATGACGATTTTTTATGAGTATTCTTTGTAAATACTCAATCATGTTTTGTTGATTCGTCATCATCAACCTATTAATAGGAGGATGTAGGATAATCATCAACCTACGAGGAGCTCGATGGCGCATGTGGTTAGCGCGTTCGGCTGCGATCGTTGAAGTTAAGCAACTTTCGCAATGGTCGGTCTTTGGATGGGTGACCAAAAAAATTACTATCTTGAGCTCCTCCGTGCTTCGGAAGGCACGTTAAGCCGTTGGTCCCGGCTGTATCTGAAGTCGTTAGCACCCGCCAATCCGCACTGGGCCATGACACACCACGCGGGTGTGTCATGGCCCAATCTCCCTATTCCATCCATAGGGAAGGTCTGTGCCCCAGCAGTGGGGACATTAATAGGCTGATGATGATGATGATGAAATTATTAATGTTCCACTACCGGGACACAGGCCTTTTACATAACTGGAATGAGTAGAGGCCTAATCGTGCTAATTGTTGAGTGTTAATGACTGCAGATACATCAGAGACCAACGAGTCAAAGTGTCTTTTGAAGTACGGAGAAACTTGAGCCCTGCTCACTGACAGGAATACAACACCACCAAAAACAAGTATTCTCAATAAATGTTTAAAAGAAACAACAAAACATCAGCTAAAACAATTTTTACGAAAACATTACCTTGCATTGTGTCCGTAGCTTGTACAGGTGTGTATTTCTGTGTGTATGTACGCGTGTGTGTGTGATTAGAAGTATGAAAGCAAAAAATAAAGAAAAAAATGGTTGCCTGTAAAGTCGGTTTTACGGGCGAAGATTTTACGTGACAACGTCTTTTTCTCGGTAGAATATTTATTGATATGAATATAATTAAATTGCACAATAGGAACAAGGAATTGAATGAAAATAAGAATTGCACAAATTTTAACTATAGAAATATATTTTGTTTACTAAAACATTGTACATGTAAACTTAAACTTAACACGAGAGACTCATCGTAACGTTACCGAGCGTTACACTTTTTCATAAGTGACTCCCAGCCGCAACCTAATTTAAGACTTTGTCACGTCAAAAAGTTGTAAGTAAGTCTCATTCCAACGGCACTATTCGGTAAAGATCCGCGTGTGAGGGTTTTACAGAATAGCACTGCTGATCATAAATCATAAAACTACATGAGTGCCGATTTTTACCTAAATCCGTTCAGCCATTTTTGCATGATTGAATAACAAATAGTAAAAACTAGTTTTATGGGAATATCACAGGAGTCTTATAAAATTAATATATAAATATGGGTATTTTTATAATTGTAACTATTGTTTTTGTTTTGTAACTAATCGTTATCCACGGGAACTCTGCCGACAAACTATTATAATAGTTTGGCAGATATTTTCATGTATAAACAATGAGTTTACTTAGAAAATCAATAAAAAAAAATACTGTGGTCTTCTATAAGGTGGAAGTGACTTTCCCAGACAGGCGCTTCAGCGCTATAGTAAATTTTTGGATACCCATCCTTAGACCAGCAATTGCGAAAGTGGCTCAAACTCCACAGTCACAGACTGAAAGCTTTGTCACATCTCTTCACAGCTCTCCTCAGAAAAATACGTCTAATATAACACAACTAAAGTAGAAATTACAAAGATAAGTACCAGAAGAATGAACTGTTCCCTTAGCTCGCACCAATATTGGAATAGTTAGATCAAAATATGCGACAAATGTCGAGAACTTTTGAAATTTGAACAGCGCCGCAACGGACGGAACAAATATTAAAAAATCTTCCACACAAAACTTTATGACATTTGACGCGTATTTAGATCGAATTCAACTATTCGAATTCGATAGTTCCAAATAGTTATATCGATGGATCCTTAATTAATGAGAATATAGAAATACATCGACAACAACAATGGCTACTAGAATCGACTGAGTTAAATATTTCAGTTTCCTGTTGAATTTATCACTTATTTTTTCAAATTGCAAACTACGAGTAAACCATAATGCTTAAGCATTACCTATGTCACAAAATCTAGAAGAAAATAATATTTGTAATATAAAAACCGGTTCGAACGAACTTCACAAGATAAGGCACTGAAAATTCTTTGAATTCTTTCATCGCGACCGCAAGAAAGATGAGCTTGAAAGCCTATTAGCCTACATCTGGCTGGCTTATAATGGCGACATGATACATTTCACTGCGAACAACCGACGCGACGTGATATGACATAATATCGCCGCGACACTATGTGGCTGTGTCTGTAATGCAATAATAGGCTTTTGGCTTCGTTTTTGATCTTGCGCATAAGCGTCTTTTCCAGTTTCCTTTTTCGCTTTAACGATATTGGTTTTACTTTGATCGTTCAAATTAATAATTGTCGACGAATGCATTTTTATGTTTTTATTGTTTATTTTTAAGCATTTGACTGCTAGATGTTTAAATCTAAAGAAAAGCGGCCATGAGGGCCGTGGTAGCATAATTGGTCAGTGTATTCGCCCGGATTGCGAAGGGTGCGGGTTCGAGTCCCGTCAGCTGCCTGGTCCGCGTGGATTTTTTTCTAGTAAAACTTTTCTTTAGATTTAAACATCTAGCAGCCAAATGCTTAAAAATAAAAAATAAAAACATAACTGTAATTGCTATTTCTTCTTTCAAATGTTTGATACTTGAAAAAGTATTCATTTGACATTGTGGGTTGCCTGCAATGCGAGGAGATGGCGCTGCCTTGCAGCTTAAGGCTAGGAGAATTTCGACGCGGCCATGAGGGCCGTGGTAGCATAATTGGTCAGTGCATTCGCCCGGATTGCGAAGGGTGCGGGTTCGAGTCCCGTCAGCTGCCTGGTCCGCGTGGATTTTCTTTTTCTAGTAAAACTTTTCTTTACAATGCATTTTTTTAATATTTATGCAGGCAATCGAGCTGAAAGACCACCTAATGCTAAGTGATCTCTGCGCACTTACAGCACCAAGTGTACCTTGCATTGCCGACTCTGAAAAGGGTTACCCGCCTTTTGGAGACCATCATATCACAGCTTAAAGGGAAAACCGCCGAAGGGAGTTCGTTCCAGATCTTGCCGGTACGCAAGAAAAAGGAAAGTGCGGAATGGCGCGACTACACTTGGTCGTTTAGCCCGAATACGAGTGCCAATGGAATTCGTGTAAACGTCTTAGTGTAACGGAGTCGAGTATGCCTTTATTCGGGTAGATTTTCTTTTGTTTACCCGACAGCGTCTTCCAGCCCGTAATAATAATAAGCCTCTTATCCTGAACTACTTTCTTCTTTCTTTGTATTGTGTGTGTCTCTTTAGTTATAAAATATCCCCTGAGTTCAGTGTGCCTCATGGCAAAAGCCTCCTCTAACAGTTTCCATTGCACTCTGTCTCTAGCAACCCTACGCCATTTTGGGCCTGCCGTCAGTTTTAATTCATTCTCCCGTCTCTAACTTTGTCTTCCTATGTTCCTTCTCCCATCTCTAGGGTACCAGTCTGTTATAATATTGCTCCACTTCTCTTGTGTACCGCGCAGCATGTACCCAGTCCATCTCCACTTCAAACTATCTATTCTATTAAGTACGTCTGTGACTTTTGTCTAACTTCTTATGACGGTGTTTCGTATTTTATCTTGTTTCTTAATACCTATCATACTACGTTCCATAGCTCTTTTGCAGTGTTTGACAGC